TATAAAATGGGTCTTCAGACTGCGCATTTTTTGGAAACGACAACTTTCTTAAAATTGCAACTCATGTACGATATTTCGTGCCTGTTTTTGAGTAATTGTATCAGCATTTTTTTGTTAGACCAATAAAGGGACGTTATTTTACATCTAACATACAGGTGTTAGATACGCTTCTTTAAAAGTAATTTTGATTTTTTTTAACAAATATGCCCTGGAAATTTGAGAAAAAGTGATATTGCTGCTATGTTTTAGCCAATTTGGATATTCTGTTATTTTGCGCTTTGCTAAAGCTAAATTACCATTCAAAACCTCTACCTGTTAATGACCTTCGAATACGGTTCTACATTTGAGAGTGAAACTGTTAATAATAGCAATCTACTCGCATACTGTCGCATATCATTGATGACATCTACACAAAAACTATAAGGACCGGTGCACAGTCGTGTGTAAGGGAAAAGCAATCTAACGGTGACACAAACATCCCCTTACCTGTTGCCTCGACGAACAACCCGTTAAAAAAATAATTAATAAACTAATTTTACACTGGAATTACCTCATTGGCGAGCCTTCCGCCGCCGCCGCAGACACAGTGAAAAGAAAACCGCCGGCCATGCGGGAAAACTTATCTTGTATTTGATCAATTTGGTCGCTCTGGTAACCGCTTTTCAAACATGTAGGTGAACAACCCCGCTCCCAGGAAAACTAATCCGTCACCGCCCGTTTAGGATTCCGGGGAGGAAAGTATTAATTGCGATTTTTATGTTAATAATGCAGATGGGTCGCTGAAACGTCCCATTTTAGTGACTTTTGCTAACATCTTCATAAGAAGTATGACATATAAAGAAGTAGGGACTAAGGGAAACTTTATAAACAGGAAAAAAGTGTTATTTATTTATTTATTTTTACTTATTTTTTTATATATATTGTTCTATATAAACAAGTATGAACATTATACTTGTTTGTTATACAAATATGTAAATTAAACTTAAATAAATACCATGAAAAATATTAAATTCAATTATGTGCTTTTTTTCTGGTCAGTAGACATACAGATAACAGAACTACACTCACTTATTTGTTTTTATTTGTATTCTTTCTTTTTGTTCCAAACTTTTTTCAGTTGAAAATGTCGAGTTATTTATTAAATCGAAAACAACAAATTATAATTGATATCAATATAGCTGAAAAAATAGTAAATATAAATATAACAAATAAAATAAAATATCTAGGTATATTTATTGATCCATATTTAAAATGGAACCATCATATT